GAATTCTTATATTTCATCCTCATTGGCTTAGTGGTTGGTACGTAAATTTGAATAATAGTGGTATTAACTGGGCTTCCCTGTAGGTGCATGGATATTATCCTATCACAGACAGCGTTGTACTTCACGACTGATCTGGATATGTTCTTTTTGACAATGAATGCAACACCATTCCTCTTCAATTTGTCATTCCAGCCAAACTAAAAGATTCAAAATGGTTGTCAGATTCAAAATGGCCAATACCAGTCCATTTCAGCTCACTAATGCCCAAGATATTGATGCTTATTTATTCCATTTCATTTTTTAAAACTTTCAATTTTCCCAGATTCATACTTTGTACATTCCATGTTCCAATTTTCAATGAATGTTTACAGCTATTTCTCTTCATTTTGAGTTGTGCCCCATCAGCAAATGAAGGTCCTGCAGACTTTACTCCCACGAGCTCTTCCCCAGTCGCATTTTGAGTGCCTTCCAACCTGAGGGGCTCACTTTCCGGCACTATATCTGACAGTGCTTCTCTGCTAATCATAAGGTTTTCAGTGACTAAATATTCAGAAGTTGTTCGTAACTCTTTCTTCCTAGTCTGTCTTTGTCTGGAAGCTCATCTGAAACCTCTCCACCATGGGTGACCTTGCTGGTATTTTAAAATACCGGCGGCATAGCTTTCAGAATCATAGCAACTCACAAGCTACCACAGTAAGACAAATTGCACTCATGTATTTTTACTTTGTTAAACATGTTCATTGGAAACACACTATTACCAGGCCCAGGCGATGAACAAGGAGCAGTCTCAGGAACCTAGTACAGGATACACTAACAGGCCCTTCTATATCCTTATTGGTTGATGGAGTAGAGAAATGAGTCAGATAGCTCAATTATTTAGTTACTGTGTCATCCTAGGAAAGACACTCAGTGTCTCTGAATCTTAGTCCTCTATCTGTAAAATTAATACACATGTATAGTGGCTAAGTATGCCTCACTCAACCACAGTACGTTTCAAGAAATAGGATGTGATGCAATCTGGTTGTTGTGTGAACACCATGTTAATCTTACTCAGTTGTCCTGGTCGCTGCTACTGCTGGAGCTGCAAGTGGAGGAACAAATGGTGACTGCTGAGAGGAGGGGCTAGCGCAGAGCTGAGAGGACCAAGCAGGCAGGGGCAGGGCGCAGGGCGCACCCAGTCCCACTACCTGTTGCACTTTGCAATCCCCCAGCCCCCAGCTCCAATCTCCCCATCCCCTTGCCACCAGACAAATCCTGAGAGCTGGTGCCCAGAGCCATGTATGTCCTCTGCCTCACCAGCCTGTATATCACTCACGGTCCAGTGCTGCAAGCGTCTGGGTTTGGGGTCTTGAAACCACAATTTGTTGTTGTGCCGTCGAGTCGATTCCGACTCAGCGACCCTATATAGGGTTTCTGAGAAGCAATTGGTGAGCTTGAAGCAACCCATGCGTGCACTTACCTCAAAAGGCAGTGAGGACTCATTAAATTGCATATGTAAAACACTTATTATTGTTGTTATTAAGTGCCATTCAGTCAGTTCCAAACCATGTGGGCTCTGGATAGTTTCCGAAGAGCAGCTGGTGAGCTTGAAGTGCCGACTTTGCAGTCCAGCGCATTAACCCACAGCGCCATACCAACACTTGTTGTTAAGTGCCGTTCAGTCGATTCCGACCCATAGCGACCCTGTATAGGGTTTTCGAGCAGTAGCTGGCGAGCTTGAACCGCCGAACTTGTTGGGACTACTGAATCCTAGTATATGGATCTGATGTAGTTTCGAGTTCTTAACACCAAATACACCAGACTCTACTTGCTTCAGCTCCCTGGCATTCACTCTATTACACCCAGTATCAAAGAGTCAAGGATATGGGAGGAATTTCACACAACTGTATTCCCTGGGAGCCCTGGTGTGGCGCTAGACTGCAAAATCAGTTTGAATTGCAAAGGTCGGCGGTTCAAGCTAACAAGCCGCTCCTAGGAAACGCTATACAGGGTCGCTATTGGTCGGAACCAACCTGACGGCGTTTGACAACATATTCCCCTAGGAGTCCTGGTATGGCACTGTGGGATGGGATAAAGCATTGAACCACAAACAACATCGGGTGGTTCAAACTCACCAGCTGCTCTTTGGAAAACCCTATAGAGTCGCTAGGAGTCCGAACCCACTCGATGGCACTAGCACTTAATACTTCCCTAAAGCTCTTAGTACTCAGGGATCCTAGGAAGTCTTGATGCTAGGAGGCCTGCATTACTGGCACTTACCGCTCAGAAGCATTTGTAACAAAGCAGGCAGGGGTGGGGGGTGGAGGACGATGAGGAACTGATCATCAAAGTGGATGGACAGCAAAAAATAAATGTTAAACTGCAATAAAGTCCAGTTAAAATAAAGATGCCAAATTTTTCTCACCTGTGTGCACTCAGGTTTTTTGTTTCCGATTTATGTTTTTGCTAGCTTGTGGTGGTGTCAAGTTTTATGTTAATTTGAACATGTTACAGTGGGTTAAAAAAAAAACTTTTTTTCCCATGGATCTATTAAAAATAAACACTCCTTAAAGGAACTAATGCTTCAATAGAAAGTTGCTAACTAGTCTGTCTTCCCACTACTGTTTTGTTTTTTTTAAACTATAAGAGTTGGTATATTTATTTCAGGTATTTCAGTATATCCTTGGATACTTAACAGCAATTGTCCCATTAAGCATTCTATAGTTCTAATCAAACTACTTTAACCTTGTTGAATTATTTTAATCTTATTCATTTCACCTGGAATTTTCAAATGTTTATTTTTTTAAATTCAATTTTTATATCTTGTTCCTGTTTTGCTAAGAGTAACTTAAACATGATTTTTTTTGCCAGTAAATTCAGTCAATTCCATGTCCTATTCAAGTACAGTTATTTTCCTTTTACTGGTGCTCTTAATTTTATCCTAATTCTTCTATTTTTACAACCATCCCTCTGGAATCCTTGTTTTCTTCGAATTTCTGGCAACACTCACGCTGTAAATTAAACATTAGCCATGCAATGTTTTACTCTTGTAAACCATTTCTCCCAATATCTCCACTTTTTAAATAATGGTATATTCAATGACAAGAAATGTGAGAAATTAAGGCAAATTTCTGAGTCCTAGGGTGCTTTATTAATCTGAGATTCTTAGCCCTACTTGATAATCATGTAACATCTGAGTTGCACTGCAATTGATGATAAGCTTGTTAGGCACCGAGTCCTGATGTGGCCACTGCAGGCTAATGCGTCAGACTGCAAAGTTGTTTTGACTGCAAGGTTGGTGGTTCAAGCTCACCAGCTCCTCCTTGGAAACTCTATACAGGGTTGCTGTGGGTCAGAATCGACTCAACGACAGCAACTTAACAGATCCCTCATGGATTTCTTGCTGTTTAGGGCAAAAGGCTCTTAAAGAAAACCTGCTGGAGTTTGAGACAGAAAGAGGGACAAGAAGCTGTCTAGGTCTTCATGTTTAGATTTGGAACCTAAAAGTTACAAAGGCAGGAAGGAGCAGGCACTCCAACCAGCTTAACTTGTTGCTTTCACAGGGAGCAAGAATCAAGAGTAAGAGTTGCAGCTCTGCAGTTCCACCCCAGTAAGGGAGGAAAGGAGTGGGAACTGGGTTCAAGAGGCACTCAATACGTTTGTCATTCCCCCAGATTTCAAAAGGCAAGTAGCCTTTAAATGATCACTTCATCTTGTTAAGTGCCGCAAGTTGGTTTCGACTCATAGCAATCCTGTATAGTGTTTCCGAGGAGCAGTTGGTGAGTTTGAACTGCCAACCTTGTGGTTCAAACAGGCCTTGAGGTCAACTGCTTAAAGATAGGGAAAAGTGCACATTCTACTTAAAGAAGCTTGTGCTGCCTCTGTGGTACTGTTTCAAAAAGCAAAATAAAGCACAGAGATGTTCCCTGTGTAACATGAAGCTAGGGTGAGGCTTTGTGAAACTGTAAACATCTCTCTACCCACTGCCATGGAGTTGATTTCAACTTCTGTGAACCTTATATAGGGTTTCTGAGATTATAAATCTTTATGGGATCACACAACTTCATCTTTCTCCTATAGTACAAGGCTTGAACTGCCAACCTTGTGCTTACAAGCTTAATGCCTAACCCACAGCACTACCAGGGCTCTTTATAAACATGTTATGTAAAAGGAGAGATCATGTTTAAAGTTTATGTTATTTGCTAACTAATTTTTGGCTGTACGTGTTAGACATTAACCATCACTACCCCCTTCCTACTGGAATAGGTATTCCTTTCTACAAAGCAACATAGTAACTTGTCAAGGGTAGACAACTTTAGAAAGAGCCCCATTCTTTAGATATGTGATATCATGTATGCAGAGTAGAACTGTTCCATAGAATTTTCAAGGTTGTAACCTTTTGGAAGCAGATCACCAGTCCTGTCTTCTAAGGCACCTCTGGGTGACATCTCTAGGTGGGTTCAGACTCATAACCTTTTGGTTAGTAGTGAAGTGCTTATTAATTTGTGCAACCAGAGGGACTTCGTAAGTAATATACGTACTATATTTCAAGTTGTATTTCAGATTTAATTACTAGATAAACCATTGTATCCAAGCCTAAGATGAATCACTTTTCCTGCTTTGTGGTTTTAAAAACAGCTCCCTGACTTCCCCCTTGCTTTGCTTCCCATTATTTTGTTTTAAATCTGCACTGGCTCTTTTGGTATTACTATTCTTACCTATCTCCACTCATCCCCACAAATCTCTGAGCACTCACTTGCTGGATATGTCTCTTTCAAATAAATCTGTGTTAGTCAATGTCTCTCAACTCCCTTGGAAATTTGTTTTGTTATGTAAACTGCATGCAAAAAAATATTTGTATATTTTAAAAATCTGATGTAAACCAAAAATACAATGTTGTTAAATTACTGTTCACAATAAAAAAAATTATGTTTTTTAATAAAGGGGTTATTTAAAATCCCTTTAATCATGAGATGGGAATTACATTGAAAGTAACTATATTCACATTAAAAGGCATTTTCTTCAGTGGATTTTACTGGTTGGTCAGTTTTGCCAGTGATTTAATTCACATGTAATTCATGTAGACCCTGTGTTAGCAACAACTAACAGTAACACTACTTTGACAAAGCTGTTATATTCTCTGTCGTTATTTTATGTTCCTCAAAGTTTCTAGTCCTTTAAAGAAAGAAAGAAAAAGCATGGTGATAAACTGTAATTTGCCACAACACATTTTTTCCAAATCTTAGAAAATATAAAAGACAAGAAATTTTTTTGCGCACTGCACTTTTATAGAACAACCAGATTTAGAATTGATTTATTTTATTAGATTTATCAGTATACATGGCAACTTTCTCAAATCTCAAAGTAAGTTCCAAAAGTATGTACTTTTCAAGATGAAAAACTCATTTTCCTTTAGATGTAATATTCCTAGAGATATTAAAGTCTATTTATAAACAATCATTGATAAACTAATACACTTTAGAAATCAGAATATTTTAAATTAAAATACTTTAAATGAATACAAGATATGTTTTTTTTTTATTAACTATCATAGTTAAATTTAATATCACAAAACAAAATGACTCATCCCCACTCATTTCTCAAGTGGGGTAAAGTCATTGGGTTTTACACTTAATATAAGTTTTAAATGTGATTATTAAATGATAATATTTTATCAATTATAGGAAATATTTAGTTATAGGCATTTCCTTAGGTCCATCAAGCTCTTTAGGCCAAGTGTAGGCCCATGTCAATCTTCAAGGTTAGACTCAGTGCACCTAACCTGCTTCGTAGGCCTGTCAATTTAAGAATCTGAATTTCATTGACAATAAGGGGAATAAAGAGTGCCCAAGTCACTGCTGAACTGACAAAAACCAAAATTAAAAATAAGTGGAATCATTTCAAATAACTAATACTCTCAAAATTCATTTTAATTTAACTAGTGTTGGGTTTAAATTTCACAAAATAGCCTTAAAAAACAATAACAACAAAAACCCCACATAGAAATAGTGAAGTCATCACCTTATAGATAAAAAAACTAAAGTTTAATAGTCATTGAAGGGGTAAAATCACTTGTAGTCTACATTTAAAAGTAATTCTAATCATAGCTAAGACAAACTAAAAACAAAGAATTCTACTAAAAACAAAAAAATTAAACATTTAGTAACTCCTAAAATATACTTAAAGATCCTAAACAAAAAAATATTAAAGGAAAAGGGCCTTGAGAATTTTCCCCAGTGACTTATATTATAAAATCAATTTCTAAATAGCTTTGGTTTCTGTCTGCTATCAACTAAACATTAGTACAGTAGAAAATCACTTATGGTCTTTTCAAATGCTTGGCATTATAATGTGATCTCATATCTTTCCTCAAATTAAATTTTGCTCCACATATTCCACATGTATACAGATGAACATCCATGTGCTGCTCCAACTGTTCATTATTGGGGAATATCTGAAAGCAGACCTGGCATATAGTCTCACCAGCAGATAAATGAGAAATCATATGCCGTACATGGTCATGTTTTCTGAAGTTTCCTTGATCACAAATGGAACAGACATACCTGGCCATGCCTTTGTGCATATCATTGTGCAGTCGTAACTGACGTTCTCTTAAAAACTGCTTTCCACATGTCTGACAGACAAACTGTTTTTCCTTAGTATGAACAGTATAGTGTTCTCTTAAATGACACCGCTGATAAAATCCTTTTCCACAGAGATTACAAAAATGCTTTCGTCTGTGATCTCTCTCATTTTCTTCCATGATGGCACTCTTAAACATATCTTGGTCTAGGCAGGTAGACATATGTTCAACCACTAGATTTTCCGTTTCAAATCTCTGGCCACAATTAGGACATCGAAAAGGACAGGCAGAATGTTTAAACAACTGCTTTTTTTGGATACTGTTGATCTGGAAATGATTGTCCCTGAAATCATCCAACATTTCCACAAACATCTCTCTTATTTCAGACTGCTCATCAGGATTCTCTTCCATGTCCATCTTCTCCTCAGCACTCCCTAACCCATTCATTGTCAGATCTTGGGGTTCTCCACATCTCTGAGCATGTTCCTGAAGTTGTCTACCCTTGACAAGTATCTGCCCACATTTACCACATGCACAGATGTTTTCAATGTGTTTGGCTAAGTAATGAGATGACAGGTCCTCCTCAGTTATTGTGAGCCCACAGAGCTCACAGGATGCATTTTCAGTGTCCTCTTGTACTGGGCTGCTATTGTTAGGGGGCCTCATATTGTCTAGAGCACCTCTTTCATCGGCATTTATTGACATCCGAGGCTTTAGAGTTTTCCTGCCACTTTTTTTAATACTGACATCTTCTTCGACGTAATATCTATAAAACGGCTCTTCCGGTTCATCTTCTAACTCATCATTGTCTGTGGATTCATTACAGTCTTTATCCGTAACCTTAATAATGTTAAAGTCTTTCAGTTCATCTGTAGGAATATCTTCTGGCTCCATCTTGATAATGATTCTTTTTCTCTCAGCAGCTCTACTCTTTTCTTCACTTGCAATTTCAGATTCCACTGTGCTACTTTTCCTGCTTCCGGTGGTTGAAGCTGAATCATCAGTAGCAGCCTGGCTTGTGTCTCCTCTGTACTTGTCGGTCTGTGCAGAAAATGTTTTAGAAGAATCCTTCTCACCAAATTCAGCTTTGATGTTACTGTCTTTTCCATCTCGAATATCTACTATTCGGTGATAAGATCTTGCGTTTTGGTATGAGTGCCGGTTAGTACAGGTTAGCACGTGTTCATCTAATAATTTTTCACAGCTAAAGCCAAATCCACAGCTATCACAGGTAAAGCTCCGTCCAAAGCGCCGTGACACACGTTCTTTTGGAGTAGATAATTTGGACACAGAACTTTTTTTACATACATCAAAAAGAGGTTCAGGAAAATTACCCAACTGCAAAGACTCTTCGTCAGGCTCTCTATTATGTGGTGTATTCACTGTTGAACTTGGCTCTGCACACCACCTGTTGGCTTCATTACCATTTCTTGTCGCAGTGTCTTCATACATTCTGACCCCAAATATCATTTTGCTGTTCTGTTTGCTGGAGGCAGAAGATGAACATTTTGAACTAGAACAATCCGTATCTTGTATGTCTTCTAAGCAGTCAGGAACATTGTATAGCTGTAGGTAATTCATTGCCACTTTAAACTGCTCAAAACTGGAAGGAGCGGTCATTATTTTCCCTAGATACATAAATTGCAAAATGAGATCAAAACACTCGGCACTAATTTTCATGTTGCTGAGATTCAGTTGTGCAGTACTATGCTGATGGTTCATGAAAAACATTCTAAAATAGGAGCTACAGGCCGCCAGAACTGCTTTGTGCGCTTGAAAGTAAATGTCATCAATTGCAATGCAACAGTCACAGAGGAAACCCCATTCCCTTTGGTTGTTTAGCTGCTGAAGAACGTAGCTGCTGTGGCTTGGCTTTGCCATCTTCTATTAATTAGATACCTCTGTAAAACAGAAATAGTAAAGTCAGCCAAGAGCAGAAAAGCCTTTAAAAAACTTTTTCATCATGATGTGTAATGTGTGTGACTTTGCTATTATAATCAAGGTATGACTAGCTCCCACTTTAATATAACAAAACAGTGATAAATACCTGAGCCATTTTTAAACTTGAGGATGAAAATTTGTTCAGGAGTCTCATATTAATTTTATTTAATGATTAGGAAATACAAGCAAAGGCATCAAAATCAAAACTCACCATTTTAGTTTTATTATAATTTTATTGTGCAAGTGTACACTGAATTTAAAGGAGAAGTCATTGGTTTTAAAGTAATGTGAAAAACACAATGAATTAAATCTAAAAATAACTTAAACATTAATAACTACATTGTTATTTTAAATCTTCTTAGATGACTGTTATTAGGAATTACTGTTCATTTTTTTTAAGTTGGATGTGGCTTATTTTTGTTGTGTTTTTAAAAAGTCTTTATCCTTATCATGACTAATGGCAACTGTCACAACTGTAAAGGTAGAAGTTTTGTAACAAAATCAGGGGGGTAGTTAATCTTAACGTTCAGAAACAGAGGATCCTAGGACCATCAAGGGAGAAGAGCACAAGCAAGTGTCTGACCTTATCCAGAGAAGCAGCGACATCAGAGATGGAGGCAGAGATGAGGACATGGACAGAGGGAATAGCTGAGGACTCTAGACTCATGGGAAGAGAAATGCTGTGTGCTGGCGGCCAGGAAGCAGGCTCGCAGAATGTGCCCTTTGGTTGATTAAATGATTATATATTTCTGAGTGTTTCTGTGTACACTCCCCGCCCCAAAAGAAGAAACTAAAAAGAGAGGGAATGGAAGCAAATACTGTTGAATGACGATGCATGGAAGAGATTGTAATCATTGCAATGAAACAATGGTGTAAAGCTGATGTTCTCCCATGTACACTATCATTCAGTTCACAATAAAAACTTTAAAAAGGCTGTATCTTCAAGATATCATTTATATATTGTAGTATTCACAGATGGAATTACATATCTGAAATTTAGTTCCAAATAATTCAGTGGGGTGGGTGTAATGAAGTATTGGGAATGTTATAAAAGGAAACAAAATTGGTCATGAGTTGGGAGACAGGTATAATTCTATTTGAAATGTAGCTTGTATAGATTTCAAACTCTTCATAGAAAAAACCCATTCAAAAGATTGATTTATATGGATGTGCTATAAAACAAATACCTTCAATCAATGTTTTTCTCGTAAGAGAATTATTGACACATTATTGAATTATTAGAGAAGCAATTCTTCTATAGAATCAGAATATACAAGTATTTCTTCTATTGCTTGGAATACACTTTAGGGTATATAGAAAGAAGCAGTAGATACGAAGGATTTATTTGGGAAGGAAGTACTATCTTTAGGTCTTAAAGTAAAATTTTCTTACACTTTCGTAATCATTAAAAAAGTATACAAAAACAACATGCTCATTATAAACAATTCAAACACAGAACTATATAGAATAAAAACAAAACATCTCAGATTGCAAACCCCTCCCCAGAAGTAACATCCCTGGACATTTTGGACTATGTATTTTCAGATCTACTTATGTGACATATATACATATTCAACAGTTATTAAGTAAGCACTGTGTGCCAGGTAGAGTTCTGGTGTGGCGCTGTGGGTTAATGCATTGGACTGCAAGGTCGGTTTAAACCGCATGGTAGGCGGTTCAAGCTCACCAGCTGCTCCTCAGAAACCCCATACAGGTTCACACGGCACTTAACAACAATAACATGGGCCAAGTACATTGTTTGTTTCGTTGTATTTTTATTTGCCTAAATGGAATTATACTACATATACATTTCTACAAGTAGTTTTCTATGCAGAACAATATATGGTGGTATGCTGTGGAGAAGCACTGAACTGCTAGCCAAAAGGTCATCTGTTCAAACCCACTGAACATTCTGCTCCCATCTCTGTGATGTGGAATCAACTCGATGACAGCAGTATTTTTAATATTGAGAGCTCACTTTGATCAAACAAGAAAAAATAGTGCCAGAAGTCCTATCTATTACATTACAAAGCTAAAATACAATCCTACTTTAGCTTCAATTTTGGATCTGTATATGTAAAGCTTAGGAGCTCTGGTAGCATAGTGGTTACGAATCGGGCTGCGAACCTTAAGGTCAGCGGTTCGAAACTACCAGGTGCTCCGCAGGGAGAAAGATGAGGAACCAACTCATCAACACCTAACAACACACAGAACAACA